ACATATATGAAGTCGTAAGTGTTCGTGTATTTAATATCGTACTAGGCAGATTTACTGCATTACCATTTACTACACATTTACCTGTGTATGGCTATTGTCAGTACATGTTGCTCATTGTAAACTTTCTTTAAGTGTGTAACATTCACAATGATACTGTTGATGGTAACGTGTATGATTCCAGCGTACCTGACAGGGACTATTGACTTTTTGTACACAGTTGATTATGTAAAGCCCCTTGCATTGGATTCATAATCAAGTTCACTGATTGACTACCCTGCAGTGCTGTTTTCCTGTATTCCTGTTTCATCCACTTTAATGAAGTGTCCTGTGTTATAGTAACAGTGAGTTGTGGATTCACTTAATGAATGCCTAAGTTGGGCTTTAATCTGCCTTAGACTTACTGATCTTCTTTGAATCAGCACCACAATAATCGTAAGGGCACTGACAAAACATACAAGTATAAATAAATAAAATCTATAGAAAGAGAAATATGTTTGATATGTTTTTATTAAGTTGCACACAAATAGCATTCTCTGCCAACAGGCTCAGAAGACAAAACTATGTAGAAACTGTGGAGGCAAACTTCTTTTCTCATGTAGTAATCACATGTTTAATCATATCACATTAGTTATAGTAATATCACTTTCTCACTTTACTATAGTAAGAGCACTCCCATCACCAGTTTACATGCATGTGGAATGTTAACACAGTGAGGCCATTGTAATGGGAGACGTTAAATAGATAGTGGGATGATCCTAGTGTTTCACTGGGATGCTCTCTCCACATTGCAATGTGTTTATTAAACCCACTTCAAATCAAGCTCACTGGGTGTGTTGCAGGTTATTGTTAAAATTTCCATAACAAAACACATAACAGACCGGAACCACAGAAGCAATGTGTACAAGCAGGTGGCAAACACAAGTTTTTGAAGTATTTGTACAACACATGCCTCTGCAACAGCTTCAGTGTTTCCTGGAATTGATTCGGAAACAATAACAAAGCTAATATCTATCTGTTATGACAGTCAAATTTTCCCCAAATAGTCTTGGTTGAGGTCGAGTGACTGTGAAAGGTATATGATCACAACATTTTCATAATGAACTATTCAGTGACCCCTCTTCAAATATTTTGTCACAGGACAAACATAATCTCTCATAGCATCTTTGTCGTGATTTTACAGCTCTTTGACCTTTGACAAGTGGACCCTAACATGGCAGCAAAGTGCAACAATGTCTCTTCGTGTGCGGGTCAAGAGTTCACGGTATGCATTTAATTTCTTGCATGTCTGTAAATGACTAGTACAATGGTATAAATAATCCTTCACATTTTCCAGTATAAAAGTGGAAAATATATATAAATATAAAATAAATATATAATATAAAATATAAATATAAAATAAATATATTACATCGTCTCATCGGGGCAACCTAAAAGACTCCTTTTATGGCTAGTCTTTGCACATCATAATAACACAGAAGAGAAGAAAGCAATTCATTCTCGATTGCTCTTAATTTCAGGGGATTTTCCAACCTGTTTTGGTTCAAAAGAGCCAAAGGAAAATCCTCATCAATGTTAGAGTGACAACTACATGCTTTTATTGCATGTGCACTGATAATGCTTACTGTCCTGTCATTGTAAGTCAGTCAAAATACATAAATAACACGTTGTGATCATACTGAAGACCACAGACGGCAGTCCAGGCATCAGGTGAGATAAAGGAGCTGGAGACATCACCTGATAAAGAAAAAAAGAGAAATGGAAAAGAGAAGTCTCCTTTATTGCACATTTTTCACCAATCACAAGCCTCTTCTCCCCCCTTCTGCCACCCTAGACTTTTGACCAATCACCGATCAGGATGAATTGCATTACTGGCTGATAAGGATACGTTGAAGAGGATGGATGGATAATAAAGCAACATGAGCATAAATGAAAGCAAAAATATTATGCAAGCATCAAGGCACAAAGGAATTTCAATTGGCTTACAAAAAAGAAGCCAGAACAGCGCAGCTAATATTACGTAACTTTAGGTGGCACAGAAGGAAATCCTGTGCTCTAAACAACGGAAACAGTTAAGGGAGATGAGACAGAAAAAGAGGGGACACACACACACACACACACACACACACACACACACACACACACACACACACACACACACACACACACACACACACACACACACACACAAAGGTACACAGAGGACAATGACACAGGGGGAACCTAACCTAGACTTATTTGCACATGTGTGACTTTCTTAGTCTCAGACAATTTGCATGTTAATGATCAAGGAACTGACCTCACAGCCGATTGTTTGTCAGTGGTGCTAGTTTCAGTCATTGTGGAAATGTACTGTTTAAAAGGTTGGGGAAACCTGTAGCCAGCTGAGACTGAAGAAGTGACTTGGTTGAGTGACAAAATGTTTCTCCCACTGAAAACGCTACGTTGAGATTTACAGAGTCAATCTTTTGGGATCTTATAAGGACATTTTAAAAACTTACTCAGCATGGTTGTTTTTTGTGGGTTTTCCTTTTTGCTTGTTTAAGAGAATAGTAATTGTATTTTGTTCATTTCATGAAGAATATAATCTCTGCTAACAATGTAGCTGCGATTGACTGGTGTTCCCTGAATGCCTCACATACAGCTCCAGGACATTCAGCCAAGAGTCACTGATCCAACTTCAAGATTTAAATCCCGGATAAGCACATCTGGTGTTTAAGACTTTGCTGCTTCCCTGTTGACTACTGTAATTTGTTACTTTCAGGATTTCCTAAAAATCAAAGCAAAAATGACAGGGAACAGAAAGGGAGAGCATTTTTCTCCTACACTGGCTCCTCTGCACTGGATCCCTCTTAAATACAGGACTGAATATAAAATACTATTTTTACTTCTAGAGTCTAATTTTTTTTTTACATGACACTGTGCACTTCAGGACTTTCAAATATGAAGTTTTTTTTGTTTTTTTTAGAGTCAAACAGGAACTTGTACTTAGTCATGTTACTCCTGAGTGATCTTATGAAGTGATGATTTTCATCCATGTAACCTGACAAACACATAATGAATTTATGCTGATGACGCAGATGATGACTAAGTTACAAAAGAATGCCAACACAAAGTGGTAATAAAGGCAAACACGTCCCCTGTTTCTGTTGTCCATAAAGGCTGCACTCAACAACGTGCTACCAATTACCCCCCAAAATTCACATATTTACAATTTGAATGCTGCAGGCAACTTTAAATTATTAGTTATTAGCTATTAGCAGTGATGGGAATAACGGCATTACTTTTTTCAGTAATGAGTAATCTAACTAATTACTATTCCTATCGTTACAACGCCGTTACAGTTACTAACAAGAAAATGCGCTCCGTTACTATTTTTCAACAAACAGACGATTGAAGCTGTGTTCAGCTTACTGCATCTTATATCAGTTGCATGGAAGTAGCTGTAAGTAATGTGGACGCTACAGCGTTAAGTAGCTGCGCGCGCTCCCGCGGACGGTAATCATGATCACTGTCTAACAAAAAAGAGAGAGAGAGAGAGAGAGTTTTGTGACGTTTAGCGTGTTTGGAGTGTGTAGTTAGTGTGTAGTGTTGTGGATAGTTTTGTGTTGTGTGTCAGAACAATGAGGCGACTGCTGTCTCCAGGTAGAAACAGGAGTGATACACCTGCTGCTGTCAGACCTGCAGGTATCAGGCTGTGATGTTCTCCTTTATAGTGGACAGAAATTGTGTTTTTGGAGTGGCACAAATAATTTGTGTTGCATCTTACTGAATGCAGAACAACTGATTGTTCTGTAAATAGTTTGAAATGGTTATTTAAAAAATCAAGGTAAAAGGTAAATGGATGCAAATAACGTTGTTGTTTGCAAAACTTGTGCATAGGATTTTAAAATTGACAATTTATATTTGCATTTAAAGTTATGAAATATAATTCATTAAACATGTTTGTTGTTGTTACAGTAAAAAATATAACTTTTTCTACTCTGATTTTATGTTTTTTGTCTGATTTTAGATCAATTGTGTTAATACAGTATGTCAAAATGAAAACATAACTGGAAATTCAGACACGTGAGGTTGTGCTGAAAAGAATGATAACAAGTAAACAGTTTTTAAAGGTGAAATGTAGAGGTCAAATCAGAAGTGGTTAAAATGGCCAATTATACCCTGGACCCCAGAGGGTTAAACATTTTTATAAAGTAACGCAATAGTTACTTTTCAAGTAATTAATTACTTTTAGAATATTGTAACTCAGTTACTAACAGTTACTTTTTTGAAGAAGTAACTAGTAACTATAATTAATTACTTTTTCAAAGTAACTTCCCCAACACTGGTTATTAGTACTAGTCAAGAATATAAGCACATTTACTGTTCTGCAGTCCTAAACAGCTCAGTATTATCAGAAGCTTTTGCTCATCTGTATTTAAAGAAGTGAGTTTAAAAGCATTTTGAAAGCAAGTTGAAAACCCAACAGAAGCAAAGCCAAGAAAAAGGATTAGGATACTTTGCAAGGGCAAACTTTATCACACAACACATTATGTTGTCTTTTGATGTCTGGTGCTGAAATAGAGTTAATAATACATAGATTAAACCCAGTGTTTATGAGCAACATTCTCCTTCTTAAACAGTAATGACCTATGAGTCCTTCAGGTAGTTTCTCTAAATAAAGACAATGGATAAAGTGTAGCATGCTGGTGCTCTTTTTTTCTGTCCGTGAGATTAGCACACACAGCGTTCCAGCTGCGGTTAGTAAATGGCAGGAGGAAAACAGTTTGGAAGAAATTACATTTAAAAATCTAAATATGAAAAATGAAAACATTAAAATCCATAAAGTAGAAAAGATGATACTGGACAAATGTATGAAAATCATATCTATACATAGTTTCAAATGTGTACAGTGCATACAGAGTACAAAAGAACTATAAGTAAGTATTCTTAAAGGAAGTAAACAGTGTGTCTGAGAGCTTGTTGGCATCAGTAAATGACCTTTCATTTTAAATTCTTTGCTAAATATTAAAGTCCCTTTGAAAAATCAGCAATTGATCCTTTGTGAGAGTATTCCCTTAGCTCATGCTAGACTAGAGATCCGGCCTGGTTCTGTGCAGGAACCATAATGGGCACGCCTCCCATTCGGGTGATGTTGGAGGCCATGATGGTGGAGGTGGGTAGTGGTGGCGGGGAGGGAGCGGTCTGGAGCTGCAGCCGAGGCTGGTTGTACGTTTGCGGCAGCGCCTGTGCCTGAGGCAACTGGGTGTAGCGCTCGGGTCTGGGCATGGAACCGCCATTGCTGCCGGCCTCGGGGGACAATGGCTGTTCACGTGGCAGGGTGGTGTTGTTGTTGTAGCTGTAATGGGTGGGAGTGGAGGCCCCTTGGTGGCGGGACGGTCTATAGCCGGCATTGCTGCCTGTGGCGGTGATGATGGATGCAGTGTCTGAGGGGGGGCGCTGTGGATACTGCTGCAGGTGGTGGTGGTGGTTGTTGTGGTGATGGGAGGACTCTTTGTGGTGTGGGCTGGAGGCGATGGAGGACAGGGTGCCATTCTTGGAGATGATGTCAGAACCCATGCCGCTCTTAGCCCATGACACACGCTTGGGAGCCTGAGCATCCTCCCTGTAGACATCGAGGTGCAGGATTACTTATTTGTGGCGTGTAGATTACTTTTAGAAATGCATAATTAGTTCACAGTAACACTGAAATGGAGTACTTCATTAAATCTTGAAACGATGGTAATTTGTTTCTGCTATCACAGGATATGAAAATTAAATCTGAAAAACAGGCTTCTTAAACAGGTGTGATAGAATCACTTTAGTTTGAGAAATGTGCAAGATCAAAATGTGCATTCCTGTGCAATTGGTACATGTCAAAAGTAAAACCTGGGTCATCTGCAAAGGACTAAAATGAATTTGATTCAAAGCAGCAGCAACAAGAACTTCATCTACCAACGCTGCCACTTATGACTTGCCTGAACTGACACTGTTTAGCACTGTGGCAAAAGGGTCCTGGTTCAGATCTGCTGGCCAGCTGAGATGCTGTTACGAATTTTAAATGATAAAATTCTGCTTGCATTTAAGCCACACTGACTCACTTGATTTCATTGGCCAAGTCATCCTCGTTGTTTCTTCTCCTTATCACGAAGACAAAAGCGAGGCACACAAAAAGGAGGAAGATGAAGCCAGCCACTGAGCCAACTGTGGCACCAACAATCACCCCCACTTTATTGGCTGGAATTAAAGAACATACAATTACTATCTCAAAGAATTTAAAAACACTTTTATTACCTCATTTCGTGTAGAATCAATAGTACTTGTACAGCACTGGCTAGAAAAGCAGATTAATGTTTTATATTCGAGTCATGTAAAGATGTCCTTTCTGTTTGACATAGAGATGGACTAATCAGGTGACCAGTTGTGCTGTGGCCTAGCAAATCAGTTTTAAGCTACAATTCAGTTTCATTTATATAGGGACAAATCACAACAGCTGTTGCCTCAAGGCGCTTTATATTGTAATGTAAAGACACTACAATAATGCTGCGATGTTGATCACTAATTTACCGCTGTCCATTGTTTTCAGGCTTCTGCAACATTATATATTCCCAGGACGCTAGGTTGTGTTGGGCATGGTTGACTGTCCAGACTCATGTTAAAGTAAGACAAATTCAGCCAACTTTGACAAAAGTATAATTTTCTTAGCTGCTGAATAGAAAAGTCAGCTAAGCTAATGGTTACAATGTAAAATGTCACAGCCCTATGCTAGCAACGTTAAACATGTCTGGCAAACAGGGTTTGTTTTTTACTTTGAATCTGTGTAAGTCATGAGTGATAGGGGTTTATAATGATACTTTTGCTAAATTATTGTATATTTGTAATATTTTAATATATATGTAAGAAAGTTCGCTGCATATTCATTTAGTTTTCTTATGACGTGTCAGCAGTCATAAGAAATTAGTAGGATATGATCGTGTCCAACAGAAATAATTAATTACATCGATGCTCGCTGTTCATGCTTGATAATAGTGTATCTGAATGTGTGGTCCATAACTATTTTTCATCACTTATTTTTATTAATAAACCATAACCAGGGTTACACTTGCTGCGTACAGTTGGTAATGTGCAGGTCGATTGCGCAGCTCTTTTCTGCCACCGTGTTGCTGGCTGTGCACACGTATTTCCCCGACATGTTGCTGCTCAGGTTGTTCAGCTTCAGAGTGCCAGTCTTCTCATCTAACACAGCAGTTTACATGGAAAAGACAGTCAAACACACATGAAGACACATTATTTCACATGTATAACAGTTCTCAAAGATGTGCTAAGTGACAATCCCAAAAGACGGTGTGCAGGCTGCTTTTTCTATCAATAATTCACATTTATAGCAAACAATGACTCTTTGTTTTTTCACTGTGCACTCACTGAGCATGGGTGAGAAGAAGACCTCAGAGGTGGGGCTGGTTTTCTTCCACTTGTACAAAGGAATAGGTTTCCCAGAGCTGGACATGCAGATCAGAGTAACATTTCCTTTTACCTCTGGCTTCCCTGTCATAGAGCACTTCGGAACAGAAGGAGGGACTGAGGGGAGAGGATTATGTAATGTTTTATTACAAGACTTTCTGTTTTACTGTTTCACAGTGAATCTGAGAAGTACAGCTGTGCAATGGGTGAATTTCCCTTACCTTTCACATCCAGGGTAACCGTTTCAGTAATACCATCATTAACAATCTGAAAGATGTAGCTTCCTGAATCGGACTCCCGGGTGTTGTTGATGTAGAACGACACATCTGATGATGGCATCTGATGTAGGAAACCGACACGGCCCTTAAACTGTCCGTCAAACACCTTCACCTCGTTGTCGGTGTAGGAGATGATCTGGACAGAAGGACAGAAAGCAAGCGTCACATGAAACAAAAAGAAGATTAAAAAAAGGGGGTTTTTTGGGGTCTTTTAGTACATAAAAGAAAGCACACGAAGAAGTAGTTGTGCATAACAGATATCACTGACCTGTGTCACTGACATCCAGGTCAGGGATGTAATGGACTTTGTATTTATCCAAAACATTTCCAGAGATTTATTTGCTAAATGTCCAAGTGCAAGACTTTAAAGAAAAGAAAGTTTCACTAACACTGGTAAAATCAGCAGTGCTTACAGAGGAAAGTTCAGGACATCTTCAACAACTCACCTTAGTATCACTGACATTGGACAGAAGTTAGCTTCACTGACTCATCATCAACCTTTACTGGACTCTACACAAAGTTTTACAGCCTCCTCCAAAGCAACTACACATGACGCATATCGGCAGGTGAGGTAAACAGTGCACGGCGGACTCACAGCCCACACTTTAAAAAGGTACGTTCTCAGTTTAAACATTGGACATGTTTTCTATGTTCAGTTGTGAAAAAAAATTAAATCTAACCTTCACATTTCCACCTATAAGGCCAAATTAAACAGTAATATTAATGTTCTTGAACCTGATCTATAAATTCTCAGCTCTCATTCTCTGCAATTTAATTAACACAAATTATGCAGGTCTGTATTGTTAGATAAATACTACATTCTAACGAATATGGCTCTTGTACAATAAAAAACAAAACACAACAAAAGAAGCCTGATATAAAACCTAGTTCCAGCATATGTATCTCTGCAGTGGAAGGGGCTGAAATACAGTATAAATAGAACGGTTCAAGGCAGATGCATCATTTACAGTAAAAAGTAAAGATGTTCTTAGATTAAAATCTGTTTTCTTTGAGTAATCTAGTCACCTGATGGTCTGGACCTTGATCACTTGCTGTAACTGATGGAACCTTGAATTCTGCTTTATACCAGAGAATCCTGAAGGAAAAGCTCCTGCCATCAGCTTGTATTCTGAAGTTCAATTACATTTGAGTTAAGCACCAGGAAAGTGATCCAGAACATAGCAGCAAAAGAAAAAATGAAGGTTTTGGAGTGATCAAAATAGTCAAAGACCGGACTTAAATCTGATTGAGATGCTTTGGCAAGACCTTAAACAGACCGTTTATTCTCAAAAGCCCTCCAATGTGAAAGAATTAAAGCATTCTGCAAAGAAGAGTGGGCCAAAATCACTCCACAGTGATCTAAACGCATCATCGCCTGTTACCTTAAAGGTAAGAACGGTGAGGAGCAAAAACTGTCTGTTTAAAAGAGAAGATGAACTGAGGGGCTGCACCAAGAACTCATGCATTGGTATTTATGATTACTTTCAACTACAAATGATGCCAAGCAACTCTAATAGCATTCAAAAACAAAACCAAGAGCTGGAAAAGGCACAATAGGTTCTTGTCAATTATTTTCTCCATATTACTATTATTATATTATGCATAGGAAACATATATTAGCAGTTTGGAAAAAATATCACTTTGTCAAATTTTAGTTACTTACATAATTAGTACCATACCACCCCATTAGAGCACTTTGCTCTCAGACTGTAGGCTTACTTGTTGTTCCTAGGATATTTAAAAGTAGAATGGGAGGAAGAGCCTTCAGTTTTCAGGCCCCGCTTCTGTGGAACCAGATTTGGATTGGGGAGACCGACACTATCTCTACTTTTAAAATTAGGATTCAGAGTTTCCTTCTTGCTAAAGTAGTACAGTTAGGGCATGATCAGGTGACCCTGAGTTATGCTGAGGCTGCTGGAGGATTCCCATGATGCACTGTGTATTTCTTCTTCAGTCACCTTTCTCGCTCACTATGTGTTTATATACATATTATTTCTAGTTAATAACCTCTGTCTCACTTCCACAGCATGTCTTATCCTGTCTTCCTTCTCTCACCCCAACTGGTCGCAGCAGATGGCCCCGCCCCTCCCTGAGCCTGGTTCTGCCGCAGGTTTCTTCCTGTTAAAACTGAGTTTTTACTTCCCACTGTTGCCAAAGTGCTTGCTCATAGGGGGTCATATGATTGTTGGGTTTTTCTCTCTATTATTGTACGATCTACCTTACACTATAAAGTGACTTGAGGTGACTGTTGTTGTGATTTGGTGCTGTATAAATAAAATACAATAGAATTGAACAATTTGTCAGAGGGGAATTGCTCACTTTATCTTGTCTAAACACATACGACTCTGAATAGATTGCAGTTAAGTTTTGTTCTTTTATCAGTGAAAATGTTTTTACATTTAATGAATGTTTCTTCCTGTAAAGAGTAAAGTAAGGTGAGACACTAAGGGAAATAATAAAAAAAAAAACCTGTATCCTTTCCCTTCCTGAGTTCTCTTTCTTCCCCTAAATCTATTTGATTGTGATCCTCCTTTTGGATCATCTATCTGCACAGCACAGTAGTATTAGAAACCTTTAAGTCTTTTCTTGTCTTGGCTTGATATATATTAGACCTAAGTGTAATTGTTTCCTTACCATCTTCATCTGGCTGGTGTTAGGCATCAAAAAGTTCCAGGCGATACTCTTGGAATTTGGGTTGCCGCCAGTGTACCGGGCCTGCAGCTCCACATACTGACCCTCGATCACTTCTCCATTTTTCAGGGGTATTAAAAAGTTGGCCCATATGCCTGGATGAAGGAAGAAAGGGAAAAAACACACTGTAAAAATCACAGTTTTTTATTACTTTTATACACCACTGTACATGTAATCAATAATTGTAATCTCTATATTAATTTCTATTGTTAATCTCTGTCTCTCAGACAGTGTGTCTTTTGTCTGCCCCCCTCACAGCCAACCAGACGTGGTAGAAGAAGAAGCCGTCGCTCCCAGAGCAGAGGCTTCTTCCTATTAAAAGAGGTTTTTTTCTTCCCACTGTCACCAAGTGCTTGCTCCAGTTGCTAGAATGTTCTATGTAATACCGCAGGGTTTATCCTACAGTATAAACTGCCTTAATGTTGTGATTCAATTGAATTGAATTCTGACTCTGAATCATTACCTGTACAGTTGAAGGTGCAGCAGGAAACCTGTTTGGATTGTTCTTTGTTTCTCATGCCTGTTTCATGTTTGATGTCATATTTTTTATAATAAAAAGGTTATAAGCAGAATGATATTATAAGATTAATGAGGATCTGCTTAGCTTCTTTTTAATAATTGCCATTGATACTCCGTGTACAGGAGCGGAAACAATACTATTACGGGTGCAGTGCAGTGAATTACAAAGCTTTTTTTCTTTACTTTTTGCTTTTTGCTAATTATCCAGTGCTCTTCTGACTTGTTTCTAATTTCTTTTTACGTGTATCTAAATATTTGATATGGACTCTGTTTATTTTGTACTTTTATTTACTGTGTCATCAGAGTGACAGGTATCTGTGCATTCATCCCTATCCAACTACATGGAGATATATCAGTGGATATCATCCCCCGATGAAAGAAGCTCATTTCAACAGAGTTGTGCATATTAGCATATTTATGACTTCCTTTGTGTCATGTAGGTGAATGTTACATCGCTAATTGCAAATTCTAATAAACATTCTACCCCAGTTGTGTGTTCATTTGCTTCTGTTTTGCATTTAGTATGATCACTCCTGATAAATTACACAAGTTTTTTTTCTTTTTCTTTTTTCATTTGAATCTATTCTTTGGAAACTTTGACTTTTACAAGTTATCAAAAAAGACAGACAAAAATGTTTATTTCCTCAGGACTACTGTGTGAGTGCAATTTTGACTGGGGATACACATGTAGTTTCTAATATTCCAGTCCAATAATATATATCCTAATATTCCAATATGTCTGGATGTGTTTCAACAGCTGCCAAATGGCCAAGATGCTTTTAGAAGCTCTTATGTTTCTGTAATGTGTCTAAAATTTGGCAAAGACTTTTTTTTGAGAAGGATCTTTATCGGATGCTGATAATACCTACATTTAGAAAAAAACAGGAATTCAGTGCACAATGTTCCTGCTCACTGCAAATTTATTGTGACTAAAGAGATTATTTAAAAATGATTATTATTTGTTTCAAAACAAAAAAAATTCTCACTTTCCATGAAAACAAACTCTACAATTATAAGTATTTTATCATATTTCTGCCCTATATTAAACAAACACAGATTTATTGAGGACAGTATAAATCAGGCTTACACAATTCAGCCATACGCCACATCTGTGAAATAGTAAGATCTTGCTCAAGCTCTGTCATGATAGGAGGCAATAAGACGCAGGGTTTATTCAGCACGGACTACTTTTATTGAACTGTAGCACCAGTGTACGTGGCTACATCAATTTTCCAAAAACATACAGTGTTCCAGCGACCTCTAGTGGCCGGCCCCATAGTAGCCTTACTAGTACAAGAAAAATAAATCTCACAACATCTTCCCCTTTAACAAAAGTACTTTAAATATAAAACAGTGTTGTCAGAACGTACGACATCACAGGGGTAGACTACCCTCAGTCCTGATAAGGTATTATTCTGCCCTTAGAACATAGAAAGGAGATAGTCCTCAGTCTCCCTTTGGAGCATCCCTTTGGCAAACCGTGTCCCTATTGACTGGACTGGGCAACAATGTCTTTTCGAGTACTGCAATCGTTTGCCAGGGGCCATTGGGCAGAGGAGTAGTCACGAGGGGTTCCCGTCGCTGTGTAGGCTTGTGCTCTCTGCAAAAGTTGCATGATCTCACCTTGTGTGTCATTTGAAGTCCAATGGTGGGCCACCACACTGTTGATCTTGCACGCTCTCTACATTTAGTTAGTCCTTGGTGGCCTTCATGTAATTGGTCAAGGACACTGGGTCTGAGTGCTGTGGGAATTACAATGCGATCGTGGTAGAGCACTAGACCGTCTGATTCTGAAAGGTGGCTTCTGGCTGCATAGAAGCCTTGCAGTGATGAACTCTTTGCCATTCTCAAAGGCCACCCTTGTCTGATGAAAATGATTGCTTTTTGAAGCTCTGGGTCCATCTGTGTAGCACTGTGAATTTCCTCCAACTTATGTGACTTGATAGGTTTGCTTGTCACTACGTTGCTCACATATACCTTGACCCGGCTGTCTGTCTCGAACTGATAGCATCCATGCAGTGGATGTCTGGAGAGTGCGTCCGCCACCACTAACTGTTTACCGAGAACATGCTCAGCAGTGACACTGAATCACATCAGTCGCATCAGCAGTCTCTGACATCTCAGTGGTGTTTGGTCAAGGTCGTATGAGTTGATCAAAGGCACCAAGGGCTTATGGTCAGTTTGTACACATACATGACCCATGCCTTGGATGTAGCGGGAAAAACGTTCACAGGCCCAGACAGATGCTAAACACTCTTTTTCAATCTGTGAATATCTTTTCTCTGCATCTGTGAGAGTGCGAGAACAAAAAGCAACAGGCCAAAACTCCCCGTCATGGTCCTGTAACAGTGCAGCATGCAGGCCATAGCTGCTTGGACCTGTTGAGCTTAAGGCCTGATGCTTTGATTGTCAGTAATACTGCATCTAAGCGTTGGTCATGCTCCTCTTTCTTAGCCCCGAAAACCAGTATGTCGTCCATCACAATGACAGTCCCATCTAGGCCCTTGAGCAAAGTGCTCATGAGCCGCTGGAAGATCTCGGGTGCTGTTATGCCAAATGGCAGACGCCTGAAGCAAAACCTGCCCATGGGAGTTATGAACGTGGTCAGTTTTTGGCAGCTGGGGTCCAGTGGAATTTGCCAGAACTCACTGGAGGCATCCAAAGTGGAGAAAACTTTGGGGCGATCGTGACTCAAAGAGTTGGGAGTTCGGCTTGTGACCGGAAGGTTGCCGGTTTGAACCCTGGCTCGGACAGACTCGGTCGTTGTGTCCTTGGGCAAGACACTTCACCTGCCGCCTACTGGTGGTGGTCAGAGGGGCCGATGGCGCGATATGGCAGCCTCGCTTCTGTCAGTCTGCCCCAAGGCAACAGTGGTTGTGTGACTGGAGGAGCTATTGGCTTTTGCGGTATGTAACTTACTTTGTTAACTTACATTACAGCAAATTTATGCATTTTGTCCACGTGTTTATTTTTCTGTTTTGCAGCTGGTCTGAAGGCTGGTGTTTATTCTCTGCTGCAATTAAACATGACTTGCGGTGAAGCTCTATGGAGTGGCTCGATGGACAAAAACATAAATATTACACATGTGGCCCAGAGAAAGAAGACTCGCGTTGTGAGTTTGCTAACCCTGATGTTTCCCTGCACATCAAGGATTGCTGTTAAAGCAGAATTGAAGTGTACTGTTCAAACACAGGGATTTTAAGTGGCACCATAGTGGGTTAAAACAAACAAACAAACAAAAAAAAAGACATGTCGGTTTTTCCTGTGACTTTCATATTGTGGACAGTTAGAGCAAGGAATGCCAATTTCTCATGGTGAATCTTCAAAGACAGAGCAGAGTGGGTCTGCTTCAGTGGCGCACTGATCAGGTAATGAAAGCTGAACTTGTGTGAATTTCACTCTGGGTCTGTAAAAACTCAGATGAGCAATGTTCTGCCTGTAAAACATTGGTTTGATGTGTAAGTAACTAATCCACACCAGGATTATTTATAATAAAAGCATTTTTTTTTTTAAATTGTGGATTTACTACTTTTCCTTGATTATTAAAGGACTACAACACCCAAACTAGTCATTACCTTTGCTTGAATTTTTTCTTTTTTTTTATTATAGCGAAAGTAGTCTTCAGGAAAAGTTCTCCAGGCTTCTTGAAGGACATTCAATTCAGTTCAATTCAAGTCAAGTCAAGTCAAGTCAAGTTGGCTTTATTGTCACTTCAACCATATACAGTTTAACAGTACACAGTGAGGCGAAACAACGTTCCTCCAGGAACCAAGGTGCTACATGCAACATAAATTTACAACATAATTTAACAGAAAACTCTAAACTAGCTAACTAAGAGGCCTAGTTAGCTGGCTAGCAGAGACAAGACAGACTGACCTAACATAAATTACAACATAAATTAACAAAAAACTATCTAACTATCTAAGGATGACTTTTTTTTTTGTTATCAGACAGCAGACAACAAAGTGCACGTGCAAATGTGCAAACAAGAGCAGCAAGTGACAGTGCGACCAAAAAAAAAAATACAACGTAACATAATAATAAGGTTTTGTGATGATGAGTTGAGGTAGTGGAGGAACAGTAAACATTCCTTAGTGTAGCAGCAAAAATTAGGAAGTGCAGAAGTTAGTGCAGAAAGTCCAGTAATAATATTGTGCAAAAGACCATTTACAGGTTGGTGTGTGCGATGGTTTGGTGGTGTAGGTCAGTGTGTTTGTGCTTGTGTTGATTAGTCAGTCCAGTCTCAATGTTTTGAGGTAGTTGAGTTAAGCTGAGTGATAATGTTAGTGTGTGTGTATGTGTGTGTGTGCGTGTTTATCAGTCAGTCCCTTTTTGCTGAGGAGACGGATGGCTTGTGGAAAAAAGCTGTTGCACAGTCTGGATGTGTGTGCCCGAATGCTTCGGTACCTTTTTCCAGATGGCAGGAGTGTGAAGAGTGTGTGAGAGGGGTGTGTCCAATCAGCCACAATGCTGGTGGCTTTGCGAATGTATCGTGTGGTGTAGATGTCCTCAATAGATGGGAGAGAGACCCCGATGATCTTCTCTGCTGTTCCCACTATCCGCTGTAGGGTCTTGCGGTCTGATATGGCACAGTTCCCAAACCAGACAGTGATGCAGCCGCCCAGGATGCTCTCGATAGTTCCTCTATAGAAGGTGGTCAGGATCGGTGGTGGAAGCCGGGCCTTTCTCAGTCTTCTCAGAAAGAAGAGACGCTGTTGGGCTTTCTTGTGCAGGGAGCTGGTGTTGAGGGACCAGCCGAGGGCCGTCTCCAGGTGGACGCCCAGGAATTTGGTGCTGTCGACGATCTCCACAGAGGAGCCGTTGATGCTCAGCGGTGAGTGGTCGCCTCGTGTCCACCTAAAGTCAACAACCATCTCTTTTGTCTTGTCAACATTCAGAGACAGGTTGTTGTCTTTACACCAGTCCGTTAGTCTCTGCACTTCCTCTCTGTACGCTGACTCGTCGTTCTTGCTAATGAGACCCACCACGGTCGTGTCATCAGCGAACTTAATGATGTGATTTGAACTATGTGTTGCTACACAGTCATGAGTCAGCAGTGTGAACAATTCAATTCAATTCAATTCAATTCAATTTTATTTATATTGCACCAAATCACAACAACAGTCGCCTCACAGAGCTTTATATTGTACAGTAGATCGTACAATAATAGATACAGAGAAAAACCCAACAATCAACAATATGACCCCCTATGAGCAAGCACTTTGGCGACAGTGGGAAGGAAAAACTCCCTTTTAACAGGAAGAAACCTCCGGCAGAACCAGGCTCAGGGAGGGGCGGTCATCTGCTGCGACCGGTTGGGGTGAGAAGGAAGACAGGATAAAGACATGCATTCAAAGCTCTTCTTTTGGATGTTGGCTGCCTTTCCTTCCCTTCTCTGTCAAGATGATCCCACTATTCACTAATGTTGAGGTCCAGGGTTTGGGGAGGCCAATACACAACTGATAGCATTCCATAATGTGTTTTTCTATTTGAAGATGGTGGTGTTGTAAATGCTATTGTATAATTACGTTAGCACAATGGTGATAGGAAGGCCCCAACCCCGCCTTCCTAATGTGGGAGCCAACCAATAGGACCACTCCCTCCATGTCTGCGACCAGTGAGACCACAATCATCACCATCTAACAAGGTACCAGTGATATGAGACACATATGTTGCTTTCCACTTGTATGCACAATCATATTGGGTCACGGGTGGTATATGGGAAGTCTGGTAAACAGGTCCCTGGTGGCAGGAAACTAAGTCCGTGGGTCAGAGGGGGCCAGCCGAGATTCAGTCTCTGAGCATGTTACATGTAGGACACTGGGTTCTGTGTTCCCTCTGTTTAGTTTCTGCCCATGTGTTCCTTCTGTTCTCTGTCTGTTACTGTGTCTCTGAGTCCAGTCTGTGCATTTCCTGTTTTATTTTGAAGGTCTGTGTCTTATGTCAGTGTGTTCAGTTTTGTGCTCTCCCTGTCTCGTCTGTGTAATCAGTGTCAGCCGTGTCTCCCAGCTGTGTCCTTTCAGTCCTGTTCACCTCTTGTATTTAGTGTCTGAGTCTCACCCTGCTCGTCGTTGCGTCGTTCTTCATTCTACTCTGTTTTTTCTGTTTGCCCGGTTTCCTGTCTGTTGCTTTCCCAGTTTAGTTAGTTTTCTGTTCAATCGGCAAACTCCCAATAAAGACGGGTGTTTTGACTTCACATTTGCCTCTGTGAGTCCTGCTCTTGGGTTCCTGCCTGCCTTCACACAGCCATGACATTTTCTTCTTTTTTTTGCTGTTATTTATCTTCCTTCGTTGAGTCTCTGTTTCCTCCTTTTCTGCTTTTCTGCTTTGCAGTTTTTCACTTTTTCCTTTTTATTTGTTTCCTGTCTTTGTTCCTGCTGCTTTTATTGGAAGCAAGCTCCTCTGCAGAAAGAAACGCAATGTAGGACACATGTAGCTTTGGAAGATGGGTGCAACATTGACTGTCCAGCTCAGCTCAAAATTCAGTGTTTAGACATTTTCCTAGCTCTCCCATCTTCTTCTTCTTCATCCTCCTCCTCCCTTGGTCTCCTCCTCGAACCGCCTGGTACTGGGTTGGGGGGCAATAGCACAGGAGCATCCTGGCCATTGTCTCCATCGTCATCTGTGTCACTATCAGGAACACTTTCAGTGTCGCTCTCAGATCCCTCATCTTCCCACCACCTGATTTCATCAATAATTGGATCTTCTTCTGCTACATTATTGTACACGGGTTGTTCTATTTCTAGAGGTGGATTTCTTTCTGTGTAATCTCCTGCTCCCATCTCTGCTCTATTAATGACCAATGGTCGTTCTATCTGTTGGGGTGGATTTCTTTCTATGTTATCTCCTACTCCCATCTCTGCTCCATTAATGACCAAGGGTCCTTCTATTTCCTGGGGTGGATTTCTTTCAATGCCATCGCCTACTCCCATCTCTGCTCTAAAATTTTCCCAGGGTCCTGCTATTTCCTGGGGAGGATTTATTTCGATGCCTCCTACCGGAACATCAACTGCCTCCTCTTGTTGTGGCAGTTGATTATCAACTAAACCACGCAACTGATTGATTTCAATCCAGGGGAACATCCTGTCAACTGCTCTAAGATTTCCCTGTTGCAGCAGTGCCAAAAGCAGCTCATTGACTGCTAGTCCTACACCAACATGGTTTTGTTCACCATCGTCATGGTTTTGTGAGCCGTCTCCTCTATCCATTTTTTGAAAACAGTCTGCTTTAATAGACTGGAGGAAACTGGTCGGTACAGCTGTCAAACTTTAGCTGATTGGTACAGAACTTTTAAAATGTCCTTGAAAAAGAGTTTAAATCTCTTTAGGAAACTGTTTAAAAACACGACGCAAATGTGAACTAATCGCAACTGATTGCTGTGAGGAACACTGCGAACTAACGGCTATTTAAGGATTTTCAGATCAAAGTCAAGATTTTGATTGGTTGTGGTTTGAGCTGACTTTTGTGACGTCATCGAATTTGGTTCATTGTGATGACGGTCAACGTTCTGCTGATGAAAAAATGTCGCTGGTGACTGAAACTTTTACAGGAGAAGCATTTCCCACAAAGCCTTGAATGAATTATAGTGACAGAAAGAAAGAAAGAAACAGCAACAACTACTAAACAGAATTTTTGCACGTTTAAAATCACCATGGCAATGCGCATGCGCATATTCTCCTGCACGCAACGGGCTTTGGAGTTGACGTAACGCCGCAATGCATTGTGGGAGCACCAGGCCACGAATCAAAACAAACACACTGTAGCTCAAAATGAAAAGGACGGTGTAGAGACAGTTTGTGTCCACATGCAAAGAGACGGTACTTGCAAAAAGTAGCGTGCATCGGAAATGTGGACCCGTATGAAAGTGGAGTAGAAACCCTGAAGACCAAACCGCTGTTGACTTAGCATGATCTGTTCTCGTACCTTGTCTGTAAAGTCAGCGCATACACGGCGCACCAGTTTCGCCGTCATAAATCTCTGGAGGCGCACATCCAATTCACCAAGGACTGGGTGCAATTGTGAGTACGCCGTCATTCAAACCAAGTGAAGTCAGCTTGAGTACTACGAGTAAAATGCGTTTGATTTCCCTCCGAACATTCAGATTAGTGCAGCATAAATTCATTCATGAGGGGAAATTACAGTGAGAACATGTGGAAGCTCTGTTAGATGGATGCCATAGTGAGTTCAGTGCACTGATGTGACATTGTCCTGAAGGATTTAGTTATTCTCTATGGTTAATGAAATTACACTAATTAATTCATATTTATTATAAATAATCCTAATTACACATCTTGCTTCCGTGTTTGTGTGCTGTGTCACTAAATACATTTTAGTGACACATTTTATTTTAGTTTTATACATTGATTAATGACCTGCAGAATCGCCTTATCATATTAAGTGTCCACAATTGTCACTTAAAGTCGAACTTTATGCTTTCTCACTCTTGAAAGTGATTACATCCTTGCATTACATACTTAAGTTTTTTGCTGATAGGTTTCTAAAAAGAAACATGCAGATTTAAAATATAACATGCAGCTTTCTATATATGGATACATAAAAACACTTTAGTTGTTACATTTATGATTAATGTATTTGAACGTAGACACAACACATTTGTGTCAGCCTTGGCTTATTAAAGTTCGTGTCTTGAACTTTGCCTGTGTGTGTTTCAGGTACTGCACTCTCAAAGACTGAATCAACCAGCATTGCAGCCATGGGTCATTGTGAGCATCACAGGGAAGGTTGAAGCCGCCCACTGCAGCTGTATGGCCGGAGTCGCGGAGACCTGCACCCATGTCTCTGCTCTTCTGTTTAAAGTAGAAGCAACAGTGTGGATCTGTGGCACAAGGACTGTTACAGATGAACCTGCATACTTGATTTTGCTGGGTAATATGACCAAGATACAGCCAGAGGTTGGCCATAAGATAGACTTCTCCTCTTCAGCTGCCCAAAAAAAGGCTCTCAATCAAAACATAAACAGACCATCTGTAGTGACAGGTAAAAGAAGCCGTCCTCAAAACAGAAAAATTCACAGGCACAGACGGTATCCACGCGCCTTCACGTCTGCAGTGCCCGGTGGTGCTTTCCGTGGCTCGTTACAAACGATGTGACATATATGAAGTCGTAAGTGTTCGTGTATTTAATATCGTACTAGGCAGATTTACTGCATTACCATTTACTACACATTTACCTGTGTATGGCTATTGTCAGTACATGTTGCTCATTGTAAACTTTCTTTTAGTGTGTAACATTCACAATGATACTGTTGATGGTAACGTGTATGATTCCAGCGTACCTGACAGGGACTATTGACTTTTTGTACACAGTTGATTATGTAAAGCCCCTTGCATTGGATTCATAATCAAGTTCACTGATTGACTACCCTGCAGTGCTGTTTTCCTGTATTCCTGTTTCATCCACTTTAATGAAGTGTCCTGTGTTATAGTAACAGTGAGTTGTGGATTCACTTAATGAATGCCTAAGTTGGGCTTTAATCTGCCTTAGACTTACTGATCTTCTTTGAATCAGCACCACAATAATCGTAAGGGCACTGACAAAACATACAAGTATAAATAAATAAAATCTATAGAAAGAGAAATATGTTTGATATGTTTTTATTAAGTTGCACACAAAGCAGCTCCTTCAGTGGGAGACTGCGGCACCCACGGTGTGGGACGGAGAGATTTCGCAGGTCTTTCCTCCCCACTGCTGTCAGACTCCACAACAAAGACTTTAACTGAACAAACACACACATCCACACATGTGCAATAACACTAAGTGCAATAATCTTTTCTGGCATCGTTGTATTTTTACTCAGTTGTATATAGCATTCGTATTCTATTTTTATCTTATTGTATATTTTAGCCGGAAAAGGGTGGAGTGCCCACTCCGGGTCGGGGATGAGTTCCTGCCCCAAGTGGAGGAGTTCAAGTATCTCGGGGTCTTGTTCGCGAGTGATGGGAGAAGGGAGCTGGAGATCGACAGACGGATTGGGGCTGCGGCTGCAGTAATGCGGACGCTGCACCGGTCAGTCATGGTGAAGAGGGAGCTGAGTGTAAAAGCGAAGCTCTCAATTTACCGGTCGATCTACGTCCCTACCCTCACCTATGGCCACGAGCTGTGGGTAGTGACCGAAAGAACGAGATCGCGGATACAAGCGGCGGAAATGAGCTTCCTCCGAAGGGTGGCTGGCCTCTCCCTTAGAGATAGGGTGAGAAGTTCGGCCATCCGGGAGGGGCTTAGAGTAGAGCAGCTGCTGCTCCACATCGAAAGGAGCCAGCTGAGGTGGTTCGGGCATCTGGCAAGGATGCCCCCTGGGCGCCTCCTGGGCGAGGTGTTCCAGGCATGTCCCACCGGGAGGAGGCCCCGGGGCAGACCCAGGACACGCTGGAGAGATTATATCTCTCGGCTGGCCTGGGAACGCCTTGGTATTCCCCCGGACAAGCTGGAGGAGGTGGCTGGGGAGAGGGAGGTCTGGACCTCTTTGCTTAGGCTGCTACCCCCGCGACCCGACCTCGGATAAGCGGATGAAGATGGATGGATGGATGGATGGATGTATATTTTTATTCTATTTTATTCTACTGTATATAGTATATTATTTTATTCTATTCTGTACAGCTGTGTACTGTATTTATTCTTATTGTATTCTAATTTTTGCGTCATAACTTTTGCACTGTCCACTTCCTGCTGTGACAAAACAAATTTCCCACGTGTGGGACTAATAAAGGTTATCTTATCTTATCTTAAATAGCATTCTCTGCCAACAGGCTCAGAAGACAAAACTATGTAGAAACTGTGGAGGCAAACTTCTTTTCTCATGTAGTAATCACATGTTTAATCATATCACATTAGTTATAGTAATATCACTTTCTCACTTTACTATAGTAAGAGCACTCCCATCACCAGTTTACATGCATGTGGAATGTTAACACAGTGAGGCCATTGTAATGGGAGACGTTAAATAGATAGTGGGATGATCCTAGTGTTTCACTGGGATGCTCTCTCCACATTGCAATGTGTTTATTAAACCCACTTCAAATCAAGCTCACTGGGTGTGTTGCAGGTTATTGTTAAAATTTCCATAACAAAACACATAACAGACCGGAACCACAGAAACAATGTGTACAAGCAGGTGGCAAACACAAGTTTTTGAAGTATTTGTACAACACATGCCTCTGCAACAGCTTCAGTGTTTCCTGGAATTGATTCGGAAACAATAACAAAGCTAATATCTATCTGTTATGACAGTCAAATTTCCCCCAAATAGTCTTGGTTGAGGTCGAGTGACTGTGAAAGGTATATGATCACAACATTTTCACAATGAACTATTCAGTGACCCCTCTTCAAATATTTTGTCACAGGACAAACATAATCTCTCATAGCATCTTTGTCGTGATTTTACAGCTCTTTGACCTTTGACAAGTGGACCCTAACATGGCAGCAAAGTGCAACAATGTCTCTTCGTGTGCGGGTCAAGAGTTCACGGTATGCATTTAATTTCTTGCATGTCTGTAAATGACTAGTACAATGGTATAAATAATCCTTCACATTTTCCAGTATAAAAGTGGAAAATATATATAAATATAAAATAAATATATAATATAAAATATAAATATAAAATAAATATATTACATCGTCTCATCGGGGCAACCTAAAAGACTCCTTTTATGGCTAGTCTTTGCACATCATAATAACACAGAAGAGAAGAAAGCAATTCATTCTCGATTGCTCTTAATTTCAGGGGATTTTCCAACCTGTTTTGGTTCAAAAGAGCCAAAGGAAA